GAAAATTGCTATCAGTGGCTTGTGGTCGGGGAGGAGGGTGAGTTTTCGACCGTACAGCATTTTATGAAACCTCGTCACAGCAAAGATGCTAACCAGGGCTTCTTTTCGATTTGGCTGTAGTTTCGCTCGTTGCAGTTAACGATCTAGCGGCATGTGAAACGGTCCTCGGTGATCCATCTGGTAACTTGTGAGAGATGACTGCACCAACTCCTCTTTTTGGCTGCCACAATGATATCAAGTGCTGAGTCAAAATGTATCAGAAGCAGGTCTGAGCTAAGCATTGACTTGAAGCAATCGAAGGCATTCCGGCATTCTGTTGACCAATGCCATGGTTGGTTTTTGGCTAGAAGTTGATTTATTGGGGCTCGGACGCAATGCAAATCAGGAACAAATGCATTGTAGTCACTTACGAGACCCAAAAGTGATCTGAGTGTAGTCACATCCTTCGGTGGTGGCATATTTTGAATGGCTTTAATGTTCTCTGGATCTGATCGACGGCCATCTTTGTCCAGAAAAAAACCAAGATACTTGGTAGAGGGCATGAATAAGTCACATTTGTCTTGTAGGATTTTGAAACCATAATCTTGAATCCGTTTCAGCACTGTATCGAGTCGGTTAAACAATTCTTGTTTGCGGCCCATGACGACTATATCATCCAAATATGCGGCAGTACCCATGATACCAGTCAACATCGTGCCCATTAGCTGCTGAAAAATTGCTGGTGCAGACTTGACACTGAAGGGCGAACGATTGTACTGGAACAAACCGCAATTGGTGTTTATCGTAAGTAGTTCCTCTGAGTCATCAGCAAAGCCCCCTTGGTGATATGCATCTGATAAGTCAAGTTTGGCGAAACAGATACCACCATTCAGTTTTACGAAGATGTCTTCTGGTATTGGAAATGGATGTTGATGATCTTCTAGTGAGACGTTCAGACCCATTGAGAAATCGGCACAAATGCTCACCTTGCCATTGGGTTTCTTGCCAACCACAATCGGAGCTGCCCATGATGAGTAATTGACCGGTTTCATGACACCAAGTAATTCCAATCGGTCCAGTTCAGCATTGACCGATTTGATGGCAGCGTAGGGTACAGGGCTTATGGATTTAAACACTGGCTTGGAATCTGGCTTTAGTGAAAGTGAAGCACGAAGCTTTGTGCAATGTCCAAGGCCGTCCTGGAACACAGATGCGAATTTATGCTTCATTGCTTATATCATGCCTGCGATCGATCTGGTCTGAATTTGGGACCTCCTGGCATACTTCGTTCACAGGAACATCAAATAATCCGCACTGCTCGATCCAATTTAGACCAAGGAGATTCAGGTTCGGTCGAACGGTTAGATAACATGTTTTTTTGTGGTGATGCCTCGGAACAAATTACCAAATTTGATTTCACCAGTTAGTTTCAGCTCGCCTCCTGATGTATTTTTCGCCTTTTTAGTAGATGAAATCATTTGAGACCTCCCAGTGCGGTTTCATGTGCCTCTAGAGATTAGCGTGATGTCTGAGGCTGTGTCCAACTGCAGTTTGGCTGGTTTACCGTTGATGAGCACAGTGAGGAATTTTCGTTTTGGCCGGTAAGCTGTGTGAAAAGCCTTTCTGTGAACCGCTTTCTTCTGACTGCTCTGAGTGTGTCTGGTTGACCAGCAGCATTCTTTCTTGTGACCCCGTTTGTTGCACTTCTGGCAGATGTGCTTTTTGAAGGGACAAAAACGTACAAAATGCCAGTCGCCACAAGACCAACATGCAGAAGGTGCCTTACTTCTGGTGCTTTTCACAGATTTGAAGTTTTCAATAATGGCTAATTCTTTGGTCAATGCATTGCATGAATGTCAGCTATAGAAGTATTCTGTTCGACCAAGGCAGTGTCGTGTTTCAGGGAAATAAGTCGTTTGTATTCGGTCATGAGAATCTTCAGGTTCATATCCGAGTCTTGATCAAGCCTGGACAATAAACGGATAAGAATGTCGGCATCTTCTAGATTCTGAAGTGCTCTGATGAAAATGAGGCACTTGAATTGGTCATTGGTTAATGAACAAAGTTTGAAGCGTTCACAGTCACGATCGACTCTGTCAGCAAGCATGCCGTAATCCTCTCCATTCCGTTTATTACTTTTCAGGCAATTGTATTGGATACGGAACAGTGAAGCTGACTCACCAAAGATTTCTGATGATTGTGCCAACGCTTCGTCAAATTTCAAATCTCTTGATAGTTTTGGAAGAATGTGGTCAACAAATCTGGAGTGTTCAGTGATTCGAAGTTTTCGGACCAGAAGGCACACTTTCCATGCATCGTCTTGACAACTGAAATCTGTTTGGAACACGTCTTCCCAGCGCTTGAACCACGCCTCGAAAGTGTGACCAGTTTCAGGATCATGGCTGAATTCAGTGATAGAATTTACAAGCATTTAGTTAGCGCTCGAGGGGATTTCAAGTGAAACTCATTCTGGTGTTTGCAGGCTGAGCCGCTGAGTCAGTGATTCAATCAATTTTAGTTGAACATCTATGCGCTTCTGTTGCTGCATTAATAGGCGTTGAAATTGATCTGCCGAGAAATTCATTAAGATTTCCGATTTTCTTGTCGCCATTTGTTATGTCCCATGCCAAGACGTAAGATCGATACGCGCGCCTCTTTGTCTAGGCCCCAACAACTGGAAAAAAGAACATTGCTGAGAAAAGACAGTCAGAGTGTATTCTTGATCATGAAACGACAAGCAAATATGTGTGATAAATTGAGCGTACGCGAACAGACGTGGTGATGCGCCACTCAGATCGTGAACTTGACACTTAGGTTGATCGATCGGACGACAGCTATTTGATTCGCCTTAGTCGTTCAATCAGGAGTCGATTTGGCTTAAGCATCACGAGCTCACTTGTGATGAGACGCGGGCAGCTGCGTGGCAGGACGTATTCTATGGGCTCCGTCCTAACAATGCTCACTCCTATGGTGGGTAGTGAAGGCGATGTCATTTATTGGCAATGGATCCGATACTGCTCTAATTCAGAATGATCCCATTGTAACATCAGGGCACAAGTTCAAAGTTGTACAATTGTTTTCAAATGATTCATAATCGTACCTGTACAGATCATATAAGGGTTTGTTGTTAGTGGAGACATTTTCTCCTTGGGTCGATAGGTCATTTGGGTTGGGGAGAGGGGACTGATGGGGTAGGCCCTATGTGTTTGTGTTGAGGTGAGACTGATTGTGAGTGGAGTGGTGGTGGTGATGTTGATGATCATTTTGAGGCCAGAGTAAGTGGAGAGCTTGAACCAGTCGCTTTTGTGCAAATGGTTCTGGTGCAAGCAGGCGAACGTTTATCACCGTGGGGGTGGCTGGTGTGTGTAAGCGCACTACTTTAAGAGGAGTTGGAAGCACACAATAAATTACGCTGAAAGCGAATTCTGATTTAATTTAATGGCCTGTACCCACCAGATGACCAGCGTGGGCAGAGTTTCTTCATCCGTTGGGATAGTTACCTCGCCGTGCGGCCAATGTACGTTGCATTAAGAACGCACCGGAAAGAGTTGATAACCATGGAAATGGCCAGCCTAGACAGCCTTTCTTTACGGCTAGTTCGGATGATTAGCGAGCCTGTGAATACACACGTTAATCGAGCTGCGTTTTACGTCCGCTTCAATGCACGCGTAAGACGTTTGTTCAAGAAGTCTGATGTAGCATCTCCTTGAAAAGGTAGACACTTCAATTGTAATCAGTCTCATTCAAACACAGACACATAGGGCTCATCCCACTCCACTCCACTACACCACTCTAATAATCAAGCGTTTCGTCGTGAAGAACATTATTGCAACTCAACCATCTTCCCTGACGACCAGCACGGTGAACGGTACCAAGGCTACTTCTGCCGAACAAACGAGCGTGACATTGGTCTCGCTAGATAGTGGTGAATGCGTCGAGGTAACGGACTTGCTGATGCGAACAGTGGAATCGATCGGGGAACTAGCAACGTGCTGGCCACACCTGGGAGTTGCACATTTCAAAGAAACCGACTCTCCCGAAGTCGATTTCCTGATAGGATGTGACGCGCCAGAAGCACACTGGGTGCTGGACCATAGACTGGGCAGCAGGAAAGAACCCTGCGCCGCTCGCACCGTTTTCGGCTAGATTTTATTTGGAGTACCTCATTCGGCCAACCGCAAAACATTGTCGGTTAACTTCATCACCAACACCGCTGGCGATGACATGATCGAACAATCCCTTCAACGGATGTACGATAATTAGTTCGACGACTTGAACGACCAGAAAGAGGGCTCTCGGTAGAATATAACCAGGAATTAGCCATGGTCGAAACGGGGACACGCTGTTAGCCCGATGGGTTCCAGAAGTCGTTACCATGGAGGGCAGGATATGCTTGATTGCCGCACAAACCAGTAAATAGCCCTAAACAGATTGGAGTACCTTCAAATGGCGACTGGTCCGGGACACAGAACTTTTTCGACAGTACACTGCAGCAATGCAATGGAAAGAGCAGTTGGGATTTATAGAAAGAGNGAACGACTGTGGTAATTGCCACACTATCCGGTAATAAACCCTAGAAAGCCAAGCGAGATAGGCGTGATATTTGATTGTGCTGCACGATAGGGTGGCCTCTCCCTTAAGCATTGTCTGTTGCAAGGCTCAGATTAGCCCACTTCCTTGATCGACTTACTCTGCCCATTCCGGCTAGGAGCAGTTGCAGTGGCAGACGATACACAGGAAATGTTCCTCTAAGTTAAGATACCAGAGGATCGACGCCACGCCCTGTGACTACTATGGTGGCCTGAAGGCAACGTACAGAGTCCGGNATACCAACTGACCGTTCATCCATTCGGACATTCGGACATCCATTCATCCAATGGACAGCTTAACAGCACGAAAACAACCCTCCCGCCTCGGTGTCAACTAGCATTGGGAATAATGTTTACGTCTACGACTTCCTGGGCGCCTTTGATGACGCAAAAGGAGCATCACGACAAGTAGCGCAACTAAAACACCCACTGGAAAGGGGGGGGGTTCGCTTAACCGAATGGTTGTCCAATTTGCGTTTAGTTTTAGACAACGTTCCGGAAACCGACAGAACGAGTGGGCTCTCAACCTGATCACACAGCCAGTCGCTAGCAAGCCGACCTGGGGGGTACGATGGAGCTCAGAGTCAGACGAATCCATCTTTAAACTTGAGCTTCCCGAGAGGAACTCCACCCGGCAAGGGTTGCTATCGCCGGTCTCCAGTTTATTTGCCCCGCTTGCATTCGTCGCGCTGTCTCTGTTACTGGGAAAAATCCTCCTACATCAGCTATATCGGAAAAGGGCGAAGTGGGATCAACCCTTAGACCAGCAGGATCGAGAAGATTGAGAGCAATGGTTAAGAAGCCTAGCCAGACGTGGTGAGATACGGATCCCGCGCCGGCTCAGCCGAAGCAGTCAAGCGACGAAGGCCAAACTGCACTTATTCCCTAACGCGTCCCAGACAGGCTGAGGGGCAGTAGCCTACGTATGCTGGATGCATGCGAACGGTGAACGCAAGACGGAACTACTTTTGCCGAGGCACGGGTTGCCTCATTGAAATACGTACCAACACCCTGCCTTGAACTGACCGCATCCGTGTTATTTGTGCGCAAAGCAAAGCATCTGCGACAGTCTTTCAGTATATTCGAAGAACGCGTCACGTTCTGAACCGACTGTCATTGTAATACACTACGTGAACGTTAGTATTGGGTTCATCACCTTCGTTTCCAGTCGACTGACGATGGTGCACAAAGAGACCAAGTTGCACCAATGGCGATACGTCAAATCTGCGGACAACCCATCCAACCACTGCTCCGGGGCTTCAGATCATTGGACAAATTAACCGATTGGCTCCAAGGCCCGACATTTCTGACCGCCGAGTCAAAGGACGAGAGCAAATTGCTTGCACCTTCCGCACCCGTTCATTTGATTGAAGCCAAAAGAGTGGTAATGACGGCGGAACGCGATGTCACCTTCCCCTTGTTGAGGAAACTAGAATGCTTCTCGTCATGGAACAAACTGATTCGGTCCGTCGCTTGGTGGATGAGGTTTAAACACATGGTGGTGATCATGACCGGGTCTCGACTTGACGAACCAGTGAATGTGTGGCCCTTATCGACGGATGACTTAATGAGAGCCAAAAACAACGTCATGAAATTAGGACAACAGAAGAATTTCCCTTAGAAATAACGGCGTTGAAAGAGAGTGCACAGACGAATCCAAAAAGGGCGCAATCCAAAACATCGGGCTGCGTAAATTGAACCCCATACTGACCGATGGGTTGCTACGCATGGTAGGGAGACTGGACAACTCTTCCATGGCATTCAAGGTTAAACATCCAATTATTCAACCAGTCAGCATCCACGTTACCATCTTACTCATACCTTAACTCCACGTAAAAAACGAGCACGTCGACACTAACCATCCATTGAACGCCATTCGAGAAAGATTTTGAATAACACGCAATGGGATCGCAATATAGTGGACGAGCGGTAGGTGTATGTTTTATTGCCGTCAGAATGCGGTAGCAAAAGGCAACTGATGGCCTCCCTAGTCGAATTTAGGTTTTACGTTGGTGGATGGCCGTTCGAGGAGACGAGAGTGGACTACTTTAGGACCCTGATAGTGAAATACGGGCGATCGATCGCAAAGCGACACGGTTGCCTATTTACTCGCATGCAGTCTCGCGCGGTGCATTTGGAGATGGTGCATTATGTCTATTGAATCTTTCCTAATGGCGTTTCAAAGGCCGATCAGCAGAAGTGGAGTCCTGAAAAGCATCTACTCGGACAACAGTTTAAACTTCGTGTGCGCGTCTAATGAGCTACAAAGGTGGCTGTCCCTAGTCGACCAGAGTGAAGTACGTAAGCGATTGGCCTCGCAAAGTATTCGTTGGCATTTCCACCCACCGTACGCCAGCCACAGAAGTGGGGTGTGGAAACGTATGATTACGTCATTGAGAGGGATCCTATTGGCGATGTGCAACCAACAGTTCATCGACGATGAAACATTCAATACAGCCATGAACGAGATAGAGCGCATGCTGAATAATAAACCCTTGACCCCAGTTGAGAATGAAGCCTCGGGTCCCGCGCTCACGCCAAATGAAGTGATACTTTTGGGACCGA